CCAATTTCATCATTTTTTTTTTCTGCGACTTGCTCAACTTTGGTTTTTTATTTATCTGAGTGCCTTTACATCCCTGTACATAAAAAGTTTTGATCTCAAAATTTAATAAAATATATGAAAATGGCAACATTGTCACATTACCTTATTAATGTTTTTTCTCTTCTTATCGCTCTTTTTACTCCCATACAAGATGACTTGATTGCTGCCACCACCATCCAAACTACCAAATATAATGAAAATAAAGGCCTTTTGAGTAAACTATAGATAGGAACCCATAATCAAAATTCAAATAATGTTAAAAAAATAGTTTTTGTTCCTATAAAAATTAGTAACAAAGAAATTTCTTATACCTCCATGAACCTTTCCCACAATCTAGCTGATCATTGACAAGGTCTTCCATTTAGTACACTGCACAAAAATGACCAAACTTCAAATGATGAATATAAGGTTAAAGGAAAGATCATGGCCAAAGAAATCATGTTAACATAAGAACCTTATAAAACGTAGATACTGGAATTGACAATAACAACAGTGATAAATAAAGTAAAGAGAACAAGCATATAAAATAAAGTAACTAGAATTTCTATTTGTGGTTTCTTGAGGGTGGGGGAGTTTCTCTAAAAATGGAGTCATGCATTTCCTTGAGCCCCTCATTCACAATCATGTTGTGCCCACATCATGTGTAGTAATTCTCCATCTAAGCAAGTTTTAAGTCTTTTCATAATATACAATACAGCCACATCATTGAAACTTGCATTATCAATTGCGATAGAAAAAAAACCTTAACGATCCCTCATTCCAATAAACAACTCTCAATGATCTTGCCAATAGTCTCTTCCTTGTGGTTAGCAACTTGACAAAAGTTCATAATTTTTTAATGCAAATTCCATTCTAAATTAATAAAGTGTTATGTGGCTATTATGTAGTTGATGTTTTTCAATGAAGCCTACGTGTCAGTTGTAAGATAAACCCTCTTGGAATTACTAACTAAAAAAGATTTTAACTTCTTCTTCTCTTCAAAATAAAGTTGAAATATGTCTCTAGCATGGTTACTCTTGATGAAGGGTCAAATCTATGACATGTAGTACTGCAAAACCTTCTAAAACTCTCCTTCTCTACGAATTTGAATAGCAACTCATCAATAATTATCATCTTAGCATATGTTGTTCTACCAAGTTACAAAATTACTACCACACTTCCCATCTAATGAAGATTGAAAGCTTAAAGTGGTTTGTCATTTGTCTTCCATCTTATATGGGTACTTTCTACCCTAATTTTTTAAAGTGTTTTTAACATGCTAGTTCCACCAGAAGTAGCATCACAAGCATACTCTTTATCACAATAATTACACTTGCAACTCATATTGTTATTCTCTAATCTAGTAAAACGATCCATAATGTAGAGGTTGATTTATTAGGTCTCTTCTTCCAAGATTCAAATTGTATAGGCAATGGTGGCTTAGTTGCATTACAATTACTAGAACCAGAAGGAGTTTCAGAATTAGATGCACTTGCACTATTGCTTTCCATCTATAAAAAGTAAAATGAAACTAAACTCAAACAAAGAAAACAATCTCCAACTCCAAATAATCCATACAAACCCAAAAAAACAACACAATTCATCCAGTTGGACAACACAGAACACAAATTATATAATGACCAAAAATCATGCAAATCATATATGTATTAATCTAAATCTTTCAATACACGCACTCATCATCATTCAATTACGGATTCAAAAAAATGAAAAGGATAATATAGAAAAGTATCCTGCCTCATTTCAATGTTTCTCCTTTATTATGAGTATACAAGCACTCAAGCATAGAAAACAATGTTTCCTTAATTTATATTTGTATGCTAATTCTACTTTCATTTATACTTCTTCAAGTTCTTGTCGCTTAGTTCATATTCCTTTTAACTCTTCTCAATATGCTAAGTCCAGTATTGGGATCGATGATTAGGGCGGAACTTTCTGACGGGCCAGAAATTGGATTATTTGAGCTCAGTTTGTGAGGAATTTGGTTGTGTTTTAAGCTTGTTTGAACTGCTCTATTATTGGAAGTTAAGGCTCCTGTACATACAGGCAATTTCACTAGTTATTTCTGGAAAGAAGGATTCAAAAGAGATGTGTTTTCTGCAAGTTAGAGGTTTGGATACAAGTCTGATGCAAGTTTGTGCAGTACTCCCTATGCTTGGAAGAATACAGTAAATGTGGCCTGTAATTCCCACCTACCCAATCAAATTTTTACTCCAAACAAAATAGGAACAAGAAATCTTCTCATGCATCTCATTCTATACATCGAACCAATTAAATGAATTTCAAAGGTGTTTATTTAACTGTATTTGAGATTTCCCCAGCCCCATGTCATGCAGTAAACCCAAGTTGAGCAATTTAAACGTGCAGAGAGAGAGAGAGAGACACACACACACACACACACAAACACACCTGAAAGCTGCAATTATACAAGTCTTTTAGTGAAGTTGGAGGTAAGCGCGAGACGGGAGGAACTTCAGATAGGTCAATCGTGCAATTATACACGTCTTTCCGTCTATCGTGCGGTGACGGCGTGCGGCTAGGTAAGACTGAATCGATGAACAGTCTTTTAAGAGTTGAAGCAATTGAAACAACGTACCAGTTCACGGCCCTAAATTCGGTGACTCAAATCGTCGACGATGCGAATGCTCTTGCGGTTGATGTTCGTGATCCTCTGTTGGAACCTTGGCAACTCAACCTGCAAATGCAGCCGTTGGCGGCGGATTACGAAAAACTAGCTTTCCCCGGCATCACTGGATTTTGTAACCCTTCCAAACACCTGATTTTTTTTCTTTTAATAAATTTAATTAATTAATGGTTCTTAATTTACAATTAATTATTTAATTGTAATAAATCACTAGTGATTAATTTTAATATATATATCTAAATTTATTTTGACACAATTAGTTTTATTTACTAAAATTATTAGTTAATTATTTAACTCCTAATTGCAATTATTAGTTACTTACGATTAATTAGCTTATAAAAATTTGATCTTTAATAATTATAATTAATTAATTATCCATTATACTCATTTAATTATTTTTTGGACTAATTTTTAGTTCATTCATTAATTATAATTTTTTTTATAACAAATTACCGAGTGACAATCTTAGACAATCTAATCTTACGAACACATTATTTGATAAAATAATAATTTTTGGATCATGCACTCTTCGATTAAAGATGTTATTTAAGAAAAAGTGATGTGAATGATCAACATGAATTGTCAAATAAAAAGCGCGGAAGCATCAAATCTCTGCAACTCGGCTTCTTTTTCTAGCATTAAGAGGACGAGATTGAAATTCCCAGCCGAGCTGTTCATCGGCTCCCATCATCTCCATTAACGATCCTCTTAGATCCTCCAAACTGTTCTTCTTCTTCCCATGCCATTTTCCAAATTGCCGATTCAATATGACTCGTTGCAAAATCGATCACGAAATCGAAGAATCCAAACAAATATAAACTCGTTCATCTTTTACCTGCTGTGTGGCGTTCTTCATCATCGGGACCATTTCGTTCATGAAATCGCAGAATCCCTGTTCATCAAAGAAATAATAACGCATCAGTTTTCGAGATTATTTGACGCGAAAATGTTTTCGTATGTATCGGCCTGGAAACGGAGTGGCTTACTTCGTCATCATCGTCTGTAAGAAATGAAATCAATCCGGCGTCGTATATGCTTCTTTTCCCCTTGTTTGATAGAACTGGAAGAACAGTGTAATCAGGGATTTTTTTTCTGTTAAAATCGATCATAAATTGAAAAAACTGGAAAGTTGAGGTATGAAATGGGATTTGTTCTATATTATTTATATGAATGTTTTGGTGTGATTTTAACCTGAATAAGCCTCTTGGATTTGCTGAAACCGCCGTTTAGATTCAGCGGCCATTTTTGGGTCTTTCATCCACCTATCGGGATGCCATTTCTACAGAGAGGAAAATTACAGAATCCGATAAAAGAAAAACAGAGATTATTACCAAATGGAGAAGCCCTCTCTGTAAAACGTACCATGGCTAGCTTACGGTAAGCTCCTCGGATTTCATCGCCAGAAGCTTGCTTACACAGTCCAAGTACAGAATAGTAACAGCACTCACCACCGGAATTTTCCCCGGCACCGGACATTTTCGCCGGTAAATAACAGAAAATGACTGGAAGATGAAGAAGAAGAAGATGGTGATGGGGGTTGTGGAATATCTGTTCAGGACAAGGGGCTTTGCATGGATGTAACGTGGTTTAAAACAAAGATTAAGGAAGAAGGTGAAGAAGGTTCGAGATGGATTGTTGGTGAATGTGAGCCAGATGATTTGATTGTGGTTGGAAATTGGGTTTGGACTAGAAAAAGTTCAAAAAGCTGAAGACGTTTGGTTGGATGATTATGGCCACATAATTCATTTACTTTTATAGTATCAAATTTCCCAATGCATATTTATTATCTGCACAAGAACTATAATATTTATCTCACTTTAGGGAACCGTCCTCACAATAACACACCTTCTTTACTCTCTTTCGAGTTCCTCGTATTGTCTTGTCTTGTTTGGAGTAGTCCTCACGACAATGCACCTTCTCTACTCCCTCCCGAAATCTTCTACACCTTCTCTACTCCGTCTCAAATTCCTCGTTTTGTATTGTTTGTAGCCGTCCTAATTCCTCGTTTTGTATTGTTTGTAGCCGTCCTAATTCCTCGTTTTGTATTGTTTGTAGCCGTCCTAACGATAACACACCTTCTTTGCTTCTTCCGTTATGATAACGCGTCATCTTGTCCTGTTACTCAATAACACATCTCTTCTTTCCTCTACTCCCTCCCAAATTCCTCACGGACATCTTTTATATTATATAAGTAATTATAGATTGCTTTTGACACACAAAGCCATTAAAAACATTTTAGTTTTTCCTAGTTAAATTGGCGGAATATTCAAGCTTTACAGGATGCCATAAAAATCTGTTTAGAGATGTGAATCTCAAAAGATACTAAAACTATCAAGAACTCATTTCAGCATGCCTCGAGTCAAACAATTTCCAAAGGCATAGATGGTATATCCAATCAAAATAACTAGGAAACAAAAAATTTATCACACTATCGTCATTTTCATTGTCCTCGACATCACATTTAATGGGAAAAAATGACCTAACTATCTCGTCGCAACCGAAAGGACACTCGACGACATTGAAGCTTTACTGAGGCAAGACTGTGTTGAGTTGCTACAAACTACTGGGGGGCAATTAGTGTACCCAATGAATTGTGTTGATTAGTTTGTGCAATGTTGAGTGAACGTTACTCATCTTCATAACGTATGTGGATGTGGATCGGGAGGAAATAAGTTGACAAGAAAGCGGTGAATCATTTCAAAGCTAGTAAATGTGATCGCAGCAGCTGGGGTCGTCCTGATAAGGTTGGTTGCGCACCCACGATAGAAGCCGGGGAGTCCATCTTGCTGAAATACTTTCTTTACGCAATCGGTTACGCCAGAATAACGCTTCTCAGAGTGAAACCCTTGTTCCTGAAGCCTGGAACGTACAACCTGCAAGAGGAGAGTGCAATGTCATGATTTTTTTCGGGACAGACTGTCGGAACGTGGATGTAAGATGTGAGTCGAACTCGGTTGAGTTTATATCAATGGGGCTGAAATGTTGAGTTACCAAATCCTAAGTAACGACCTTCTTTTAGAAGGTCAAGGTTTTTGATACGAACAATGAACATAAGACATAAAACATGACGTAGTTCAGATACATGAAAGTTGAGATTATAATATATACACCAATATAAATGATTCACAGTGCATTTGAAGGTAAAAATTATATGCACTCGATTTGGATCCTACCTCATGTGGATAAGTCAATGTGGAAGCAAATATCTTGGAGACAGATGAGGCTACCGCGACATCACGTGCGCTGAGTTTGTCTGTTGTCGTATTGTCTGTGATACTATAATAAGTTAATACGAGCTTTTTCGTAATGGGTTTATGGGGAAGACATGAGATAGGTTATTAAACAGTTACCTCTTCTAGCCAAATAACTTTTTATTTTTTCGTATGTTGGAAACTGTATGGCAACGTGACTTACACCGGCCAAAGCAGGAACAAGACCACTGTAGAACATGGTACCGAGTGTTAGAGTCGGGCAAAGAATCCTTATAATCCACGAACTTCTCCATAATACATAGACCAGAATAGCAACATGATAAGAAAGAGCAAACCTGTACAATCCACGAATGCCTTCTTCAGAGGCTATTCTCCTCAAGGCAGACACTGTATTTCTATATGGTAGCACACCAGATTTCATTCCCTGCGTCTAAAGAATAAAAGAGAAACCGTTTCGATTAGTCCATGTCTATGGTCATAAGGTTCACATGTCACATTTTAAGGCAAGATAGCAGTTGGAGAGATTTAATAACTTTTCTTGGCTAAGTGCAAACTGGAAAATCAACATCATTGCACAAAACTGAAGAAGGTTCCATGGCTATCAATCCACAAAGATGGATCCCATGCCACAATAGAGGAGACCTCAACCATCACTTCAATCTTAGTGTTTCACCCTTGAAGTCTTTCGATCCATGAAGATAAATTCATGGTAATAATTCGAAGGAACGGAAGTTGAGCATTTCCTAGATTGGTTCAGAATTACTCCTTTCAAGCCTTTGGATGTCTTTTTGTTCTTCCAAAATGCAACAAATGCTCCCTCAGGCCACATATTCAAGGAGCAAGGGTTGAACTTCCATGATGGGTTTTCATCCTTTTTTGAGTATGATACCGTCCCTTGTTAGAAGACAGGCTTGGGATCGGGGAAATTAGCACGATCTGAGTACGCTCTCTTTCAGGTTTCTCTATGGGCTAAGGGTCTAAGAAAATCAATGTCCGGGAGTTCGGATTAAAGTTCCAGATGTACCCTCCCATAGATGAGAATATAAAGTTAATAAAGAACAAGAGATTTCCGCAAAGAAATGAAAAAACGAACGCGAGCTTGCAATCCTCACCTGAAGCCTGGTCTTAACAACCCATAGAGGATTCGTTGCAATAGTTGTAGCAGCTCCAGCTCCAGAAGCAGCCATCATATTAGCACCTATTGAAAGCTGATGATTTTCAACTGCACATATACCATGAGAACATCAATGAAAAATAAAGTTCTTAACGGGAAGGAAAAAAAAGTAGAAGAAAACGACGAAGAAAAGGACAATAAAACTAACCATCCGAACGAAGAAAGCTTTTGAGCTGCCCATAGATTGTGAAATAGACCTGCCATAGGCAGATATTGTGTCATACAAAAGAAAAATAGCTACATTATTCTTAAGCAAACACAAAAAACCATGTTATTACAATCAAAACACTGAGGTAGTGCTTGTGTCAAGATTTTACACTAAGTTATGCAAGCACAGTAGATAACATTAGGTGGCTAACAATGTTTTACAGCCCCAGCTTTATGAGATTCAAGTACACAAACTTTATGGGATATAGACATGACTCGTGACTTACAGCCCAGTTAGGAAGCAACGCAAGCACGGTCGGTGCGAGTCCTCTATACATTCCACGTAGTCCCTCCTTATGAAAAATTTGTTGCAGACTACCAACTATAAGACTCCCTGAATAGATAGAACAGAACAAAATCATCAGGAAAACATCATAAATAGCACTTCAATTGTGATACAAGCCCTCCAACCAACCCACAATAGCTAAAGATAATAATGCAACTCACATTTGCAATGTTCATAGATATGGGCAAATAGAAGCAAAACATAGTGTAGCCCAATTGTTGCAATCAGTAAACAAAAAGAAACGCCATACCTTTCCCGATGTTTGGCAGTCCATGAACCTGAAATCTGGTCTTGATAACATCCAAAGGGCACACAAACGTAGCAGCAAGAACTCCTATAACGTAATTCAAGAATACAGTTCAAGTTCTCAAGCTAATCGAGAGACAGAAATCAAATGCCTAACCCACCCCTCCCTTTTGAATCATACAAACAAGCGCAACAAACAGATACAAATCTCAAGCAACTAAATCTTTCAGCTTCATATGCCACAAATTTACACCCCAAATGAACACGGTGCGATGCTTTTGATTATCATACAATTGACAAGAAAATGGATCCGAAAACGGAGATTAAAGAGATGCAATTACCAGCAGCAGCACCAGCTCCCGCATTACAGAGAAGACCTCTCGGAGTAGGGGCATGAGAATTGGTAGCCATGGCAGTGTTCAATCAAATAGCCAGAAAAATAAATAATGATTTGAGCGCAAGAATCACCAAAAGAACCCTCTTTCGAGAGGCAGATCTTGGAAAACCAGAGTCGCATGGCCAGAACAAGGAGAGAGGAAAGTCAAGCCGATTGGTGCCGAGGCTATTCTATTCGATTAGGAGGGCAGCAATCGGAAACAGAGAAGAAATAGGAATCGGTTGAGACATGGGAAAGTTGAATCGTACACGAAACTGAGGGATATTCATATGTGGATCAGAAATCGCGAGGAAAAACTGAAAAATAAAATTTATGGGCCCTTTGGTTTCTTCGTCGTCGTCATCACCGTGGTGCCGAAAAAGCCTCGCCCGGTTGCGGCCCGACGAGACGATTCGCCGCAAATGGGTCAATCTGATGCTAGCAAATTCAATTCCATTTTGATTTCGTTTGCTTTTGCTTCGAAAGCCACCCCCTCGACAACTACTCCTTTTAAATTACAATTTATTTAAGGGTTAAATTATTAGTTTAGATGTTGTAATCTCAATTTGTATTTATTATTTTTCTTAATTTAAAAATATGTCAAATTAAAAGTTCAAGCTTTACCAAAATTTATTTTTTAACATGATTTACATCTATAACTCATTATTTTTTAAATTATTCAAGAAGATGATCGAGAACATGTGACATTTAATATTATTTGGGTCCAAACGAAACAAAAAATGAGACTCGTAATGACAAATTAAACCCATGGGACTAGGGCAAGATGAGCCACAAACCAAAGTACACGTGGGCCCACCTTAGTCGAGATCGAGGTGGGCCTTCTTGGCTCAAGGGGGTTTAATACTCATACCCATGACCTGATATTAAGTTGAGGAAAAATAGGTACACGAATTGATCCAATTTGAAAACAAAGCGGAGAAGCCCTAGGTCATCCTATGACCTATAAACATGTTACAACTAGAGTGAGTAAGACTTACACTCTAATGCTAAAAATGATTGTGACATCTTACATCATCAAGCATTAAAAATAAAATAACGAGTATCACATCAACATTCAATGGATATATTTTGTAGGTCACGTGCATCAATGTAGATTTCTTAATCCACATCTAACTATTAATAATAACTTTTTTTTGTTGTAATGTGTAGTATGAAGATATAAATCTCCGACTTGATGAACCATTCAAATGAAGGTTGGCATTAGATGCTTGTTTGGTTGAATTTTGATACTACCTTTTCTATGCAGGCTTACTCATCTTGACTGCCAATTTACTAACTTTTTATTGAAGAACACCACGAAGCTAACTATATTTCCATAAACAGGAAAACAACTTGAATCATGCTTACTCTATCTAACTATCTTTTACTAATTCACAAAGGGTAATATGATCATTGGAATAAAAACACTACAATTTTGATACAACTTCCCTTTTCTGTATTCGTGCTCAATATTATAAATCTTCGCCTACGATGACAGAGAGAACTAACCCCTGTACGAAGTCACATCTCCGAGTCTTCTCTTCTTGCTTCGTGTCGGGTAAGGAAGATAAATGAATGTCCCTGCACATGCACATACTTAATCTTATTAGGTTGGAGGTACTGAATTATGGGATATGGGTACCTCCATTACAGAAGTTATAGACTTGCTAGGATTGCTAAGACAGTGGGGGAAAGCAAAAATTACTCGACCAACATGAGAAGTGCAGAGAAATTTAAGGCCATTTGGTAAATGGATCCAAATGCAAAGGCATAAAATTGATGCAGGGATGGCCCTGGAAGGAAAATGAAAACTGAAATAGAACTGCACAGTAGCCCCTGGCTATGCATTTAGATAGAGAATGATCTCATCTGACATTCACCTCTCAGAATAAAAAGAGTACACTTTTGTCCAAAAAAAATGCCCCCGACATGAAAAACATTGAGGCATAGATACTATTTGTAACAGTCTTAGCTCATCGCTAGCAAACATTTTCCGCTTCGGCCCGTTATATATCTCCGTCAGCCTTACGGTTTTTAAAACACGTATGCTAGGGAGAGGTTTCCACACCCTTATAAAGAATGTTTCGTTCTTCTCTCCAACCGGTGTGGGATCTCATAATCCACCCCCCTTCGGGGGCCCAATGTCCTTGCTAACCCTCGTTCCCTTCTCCAATCGATGTGGGATCTCACAATCCACCCCCTTCGGGGCACAATATCCTCGTTGGCACAACACTTAGTGCTTAGCTATGATACCATTTGGAACAGCCCAAGTCCACCGCTAGCAGATGTTGTCTGCTTCGGCCTGAGCCTCACAATTTTTAAAACGCGTCTGCTAGGAAGAGGTTTTCACACCCTTATAAAAAATGTTTTGTTCCCCTCCTCAACCACCAATATGGGATCTTATGCTACAAATATCAAACTTCTACCTTCTACTAACCCAACTAAATATAATCCTAGGCACTATCACTATAATCGTCCAAAAACACGTTGTTCTTAGAAGGAACTTTGATGGACTTTAAATCCTACATATCAATGAATTTCCGCGCATTGTAGAAAAGATATAAGCTATGTACCACCAATGAATTGATATTGTGAGACATTTATAATAGCTGTAAACATATCGTCATGCGCAGTCGCTCTGGACAGAAACTCAAGGATATCTAAGCTCATAGGAAGAAGCAAAACATATCTAATATCTCCAAGACTAAATTTTAAATGCCAAACCAGAATGCATGCCAAAGAATCAGTAAAAAACATAACTATGGTGAAACAGATGCAATGCAAAAGTGCATAATTTTCGAGTCATAACTAGGCAGCTAGAAGTATATTTCTGTCTTACCTTTCGGATAATGTATCGTCCACATCACTTTCCTTCAATTTTTCTTTACTTGAAGGCACGGGCTGAACAGTTTTGGACTCATTAACGACAGGTGCATTGCATAAAAATGATAATAATGGATCAGGTGCCATCTTGGAGGTCGAATGCAGAGACGAAAACCCCGAAAGAATTCTTACACGATCATCTTGTAACTCTTTTCTCTCAAAAGAAAGACTTTGAGGAAAATCATCTTTATGGAATTTCAATCTTTGTTGACTGTAACCATATGTTAAGGAATTGAGTTCATAGATTCAAGTATGCCTTGGATATAAGCAAGAAACAGAATAAAATACTCCGGAAGAACAGTTGAAAGATTTACGAAATTGGGGAAACACAACAATATTTAAAGAATGAAAGAAAAGGATATATTAAATATATCTCCATGCTGCATCATTATATGTCCAACCATATTCTCTCCGACGCTTGAAGAGCAAATAGGGCATATCTGAAAAGAAATGAAAACCAACCTCTTGAAAAAGCAAGAACAAGACAAAAACTAACTTCAAGTAGATACCAATAGATAATCTTTACTTCCAAAAGGGGATACAGAAAGATAACAAAAGCATAATGCACAAAAAAAAAAAAAAAAAAAAAAAAAAAAAAAGAAAGAAAAGGGGATAACAAAAGCTAGTAGAAAATCTAGTCCCCAAAAAGATTTATACATTTCCGTCCCTGGTGCTAACATAATGTAACGGCCTAAGCCCACCGCTAGCAGATATTGTCCTCTTTGGACTTTCCCTTTCAGACTTCCCCTCAAAGTTTTTAAAACACATATGCTAGGAAGAGGTTTCCACATCCTTATGAAGAATGCTTTGTTCCCCCTTTCCAACCGATGTGGGATCTCAGACATAATAACCATAGACAAACATTTTTGACCGGAGGCAAGACAAGCACGCAAGTACGCTTTTCAACCGAGTGTACTCGGGTTTGAAAAAAAAAGCAAAATACCACCAAGTATCCAAGCTAAAGGCAAACCATAGCAATATAATTTTCCAGGTCAAGTCAAATACTTGAAGCAACAATCTTGGTGACGATTATTGAAAGGAGTAGTCCCACATTGGCTAATTAAGAGGAAGATCGTGAGTTTATAAATAAGGAACATGGTCTCCATTGGAATGAGATCTTTTGGAAACTTAAAAGAAAGTCATGAGAGCTTATGCTCAAAGTGGACAATATCATACCATTGTAGAGGTCCGTGATTCCTAACACTTCTCATATTAGTCACAATATACTTGAAAGATGGTGATAAATTCTATAAACAGTGAATAAGAGGATTGATCAGAAAAGGACTTCTCATTCAAGAAACGAGTTTCCAACAAAAACTTAAAATGAAGAGACAAAAAAAAAAAAAAAAAAAAAAAAAAAAAAGATCAAAACACAACGTTAACANTCGACAAGATTATGCCTTGAACTAGAAGTTCATGGTTACTCAAGGAAGACAAACAAGCATTCCGTAAGAACTGACTGCAGTCTACTGTTTTGGGAGCTGTTATCAAGTAAGGTTACTCCACTGGAACGACGCTAAACAGACAGACACGATAAAATTTTCCTCAACCATGGAGTGATCGAAGAGACAATACCGTATATCAATGGAAATATTCTCTAATCTCCTACTGAAACTGCCGAATAAAGCCGTTTTAAACTTAAAAAGCTTTTAACCAAAGACAAATTAGCGATTTCCTTACCCCAAAGTTGGCTTCTAAAGGATGCTCGTCATCAATATGGCAGCATAGCTCAACCAAATCAAATTCCTCCGAACAAAACGGGCAAGAATATTCCGAATTCAAATCATCATCATCCTCATCCACCTCCTCGTAATCAAAATCAAAATCTAGAAAACCAAACAGAAATCGTTTAAACAAAAACTCACAAAGCAAAACTCCAAAAAAAAAAAAAAAAAAAAAAAAAAAAAAAAAAAAAAAAAAACTAAANAAGATCGAGACATGACTCACGCGACTGGGATTTAGAGCCCATCGAAGAAACAGCAGCAGCAGAGAGACCATATCGATAAGCTTCACTTTCCATTCTCAGATTAAACAACACAAAACAAAACCCAACGCGTATTCAATTCAGGGGGGCGAATCCGTTCGAAACTTCGATGAATTATTCAGCGCCTCTTCGCCGAAAACTCTTAAGCGGCACTACGTTGGTCGGTTTTGAAGAAATGAAGAAGAAATTAAACGGGGAAGAAAAATTAGCTCGCGATTTAGGAGTTTCGATTTCTGACTCTAAGATGACCAACGAAGAACTCCCGCGTTTTATCGTAGAACTACTCTCTCAACAACCAGGGACCGACGGTTCTGGATTAGGACTTTTATTCCCGTTTTACCCTCGGAGGTTCTTAAAATTACTAGAAATATTACTAGAAATTTCCCACGTGTTAAAATATCCATATTTAAAAGTATATTTTTTTATATTAAAAATAAACCAAGGTAAAAAAGGATCCAAGGGCCATAAGCCCAATATGAGAGCCCATTCAGGATCCAATCAAGGCCCGCCTGAATCCTGATCTGTTTACTTCCGGCGAAGGTTACGTGTAAAACCTCCGCGAAATTTCTTCATTCCGGGGGGGAGTTGTTCAATGTTCGATTCGAACATTGAATTCTTCAATTTATTTCATTTTTACGCAGGAACTGGCTCGAGTTTTTCGATTTTGATCATTCTTGAATTCTCTAATCATTGATTTCTTGTTTTTTTTTTTTTTTTTCTCTTCGGCTGTTGTTTTCTATGGCGACGAGGAATCGAACTGCACAGTTTAGAAGGCACAGGGACGCCGTGAAGAGCGTCCGTGCGCCTTTATATTCCTCGGCAGCTGGTTCGAGCGGACCGGTTATTGAGATGGTGAGTTCGTCGCTTCTTCGTTCAAAGCGCTCTTCTGCTTACGCTCCTCTTAGCACAGAAGATCCAGGACCTTCGAGGTATAGAGTCCTTTTTTGTTTTGTTCTAGCTTTTCTTCCAAAGTTCTTTTGCATTTTTTCTTTTATTAAATTTGGTCTAGTAAGTGCATAAATTGCTTGTGCTGAATTATTTTCTTAGCCATGTGGAGTATCTGGATGGAAAATTGAACTTCTACTCTGACATTCAATTAAAAGATATTTCTTATTTGCGTCAGTGAAGTTTTCTTGCATCAATCGCGTATTTGTAGAGAAAATAAGTAGACATCATCAACGCATTCTTGCCACCCCGCCCCCCATACCTACTTGGAGTTGAAGAATTGTAATTCTTCGAACTGCTTGACAAAATCATACCTCAGCAGGAAATGACAATATAGGTTTCTTGACAATATTTCATTAATTAACTGGGAATTTGGGAAGGAAACGCTCACTGAGTGAATGGTGTCAAGACTCGGATAGTGAAGGTTAATGAATTAAATTTACCAAAAAGTCCGGTACCGAGCATTGAAGGCACACATTTCAAATGGTTGATGATCATAGGGAGGTTTAACTTTTAACTTACAATGGATCTGCTTAGAATTTGAAGGTTTCTGTCTGAGTAATTTAGCAAAATAGTAACTCGTACTCTCCTGACTGTAATATTGTATCTGAGGTGCAGCAGTGATGCATTGATGGTGAGTCTGCCTCCAGCTTGGGTGGATGATTCTGAAGAAATAACTGTTAATATACACCAAATTCGTAGGAAGATGGCAGAGTTAGTCAAAGCTCATTCTAAAGCTTTAATGCCTTCTTTTGCTGATGGCAAAGAAGATCAGAATACGATTGAGGCGCTTACGCAAGAAATTACCAATCTTTTGAAAGCCTCTGAGAAGAGGTTGAAGAGAATTTCTTGTACTGGGTCTTCAGAGGATATTAGCATCAGAAAAAATGTACAGGTATGCTTGATTCTCACTAATTTTTTTTGCTTAATACCATGAATGATCCGACTTTGTATCTGAGTCATAGTTGGTCTTTTAGTAATTGCTTTCTGTTATTACGTTTTTTCTATCTGTTGTTCTTTGTCGTTGGACCTTTTTTGTGCCACCGGGAAACTAATGTATGAAGTTCCTATAGACTTTTCATCTCCCTGAGAGTGTTTCTTGATTCTGGTTTTCAGGGTCTTTTAACAATTTGTTCCTTTTTGTGATGGATTGACTCCTTTTCTTAACAGCGTTCTCTTGCTACAGAGCTTCAGAATCTTTCACTGGATCTTCGTAGAAGACAGTCAATGTATCTGAAACATCTGCAGCAGCAAAAGGAGGTTTGTGCCCTGTGTTCAAACGGACCTATGAAAACTTTCTGAAAAAAAAAAAAAGATTTCATCTGATTAGTTGGCTTGGTAGTTGGGGTATTTAAAATGAGTTTCATCTTTTTGTTCCCACATTATAATTTTCTTGTACTTATCACCAATCTATTAAAAATGTGTTAGATATAGTATGAAGAAACTTCTTTTCCGTTATGACAACTCTCTCCTCATTTCATTTGTTCATTCGTCTATCATTCTAGGATTATACTTTTCTTGGTAAAATCTGTAATTTGGTCAATAGTAAGTAATCTTTCGGGAGTCTCATCAATTGAAACAGTGTTATTTTTAGTAAGTGAGGTGTGATTACTTTTGTATTGCAGGGGCATGATGGAATTGATTTGGAGATAAATTTGAATGGAAGCAGAACTCTACAGGATGATGACCGATATGATGAATTTGTATGTGCTGATCTCTTTGGTTACCTGGGCATTTCAAGACTGAACTTTTCTTATGATAGGGATGATTTTTGAGAACCCGAAGCACAAATTAACATGTTATTTTTTAACCCCAAATGTTTTTGACTGTCAAATCTTTTTGGATGTTCCATATTGATAAGTGGATATTGCTTCAGTGGTTGATTTTGTTAATCATATGCCTGAGCTAAATGTCTTATTGTTTTGTATGCTAGGATAGCATATTGCCATTTGATAATTCTTTTGGGTGTGGTTTTTATGATACAATATATCATTGTCTCTCACTTCTCCTTGATTGGTACTTCTGTGTGGGATCAGGGAACCAATGAACACCAAACGATGACATTTGGAATGGATGCGCAGCACATTCAGGGAAGGGAGAAAGAGATTAAACAGGTTATGGAAGGTTCTTGTATCGGAGGTGCGAGACGAACTATTCACAATGTGATAAATATAAGTCTTTTTATTATGTGTAGGTTGTGAAATCAGTGAATGAACTCGCCCAAATCATGAAGGATCTCTCAACCCTTGTTATAGACCAGGTAAAGACCATTTTTTTTTTTTTTTTTTTTTTGTTTGTCAATTTGGGTTTACAATCAGCTAATGAACGTTGTGATTTTATCAGGGTACCATTGTCGATAGAATTGACCACAATATTCAGAATGTTGCTGCTTCAGTTGAAGAGGGCTATAAGCAGCTTCAAAAGGTTCTCTCTCTTTCAAAGATCACTGTCATTTGTGATCCAAAAACTGAGATATCAAATAGTTAAAGTCCCTTTGGATAACTAGTTTTGAGAATTGTATTTGTTTCCTCACCGTTCTCTACCATAATTTTTATCTCTCTTAAAAAATTATTAGAATTCATAGCCAAATTCCGAAATAAAAGGTTTCGAAAACCCATAGTATAAAGTAGATGAGTTCTTAGGTAAAAGTAATGTTTATAAACTTCTAAAACTAAATGATTATTATCAAATGTGAGGCGAATTACCAAAATAAAAAACAAGTTAAATTTTTTCTTTCAAAACTAGGCATGGGTTTAGAATTGATAAGTTGTTAGGTAAAAGATGAGGAGATGATGGTGGGATGTTTTGCCATCTGCAGGCAGAGAAGAGTCAGAAGAATGGAGGAATGGTGAAGTGTGCAACGGTGCTTGTTATTATGTGTTTCATAATGCTGGTTCTGTTGATACTGAAGGAGATAATTATGTAACAAATGTTGCCCTTTGGCTTGTTGCTGATAAGGATTTTGACGACTGCATGCGGCTGGTAAGCTAAGCAGGTGCCTTTCCTTTCGTGTATTATTCTCAGAGTCTCGATCGTGGCATTGTTGAAATGATATTCTTTGAAATGTCTCAATTAGTTGAGTGTTTTGTTCAGAATTCTTTTCCAGCTTTTGTATGTAAATTACTAAAAACATCTTCACAACCTTCACTTCTCCGTAACCCCTAGCCGCCTACCATTGAATATAGGTCCCGCCCTAATTGTTGTTGTCGCCCACAACTAGCGAACACAAAAGGTAGTTCGTTGTGTTTAACAATCATCGTTTATAAATTTGATAAATTTGGTCCCGTCCAAATCGTTGTTGTCGCCCACAACTAGCAAACACAAAAGAAAAGTTAGTTCGTTATGTTTAATAATTATCGTTTATAAATTTGATAAATTTGATGTATGTAGAGATATTTTGAAATTATCAGTGAGATTTTCCCTCCCTTATTATTAGGTCAGCTGTTTTTTTTTTTTTTTTTCTCACGACAAAAGGAAAGCCCCAGCCCACTGTCTATAAGGTCAGCCCAGCCCACTGTGCTATGTTCCCGTTTTAGGCTTCTCCCTCAAAATTCTAGTCTATGGGCTTTTCTTTCTAGGTCAGCCTAAGCCCACTGCGATATTAGGCCAGCCCACTGCTATGTTCTTATTTTAAAACACGTCTATGCCTTTCATTCTAGCCCAAACCCCTCAGGTCAGCCCAAGCCCACCGATATGTTCCCTTTTCTATTATTATTTTTTAATTTAATTCATTCATTTTATATTTATGTATCGATATACATTATTTTAATTTTAATAAAATTAATAGAAGATAAATTATATAATTGAATAATAAACCAGTTTAAATTATATATAACCTTTTCACTTCCCCTCTTCAAACTTTTCTATCTTAATCTTACTTTTAAAATTTTTTTAATCGAGATATTATTTTTTTTTTAAATTTAAATTTCAAACCCTTTTTATCTTAATATTATTTTTTAAATTTAATTTTCAAACCCTTTTTATCTTAATACAATTTATTATCATCCTCGAATACCTTGTTATTTAGATATATATATGCCCTTATTATTTATTATATCTATTAGATCTTCTTCTTAATCGTGATTAATTAATCACTCTCTCTTCAACTCTTCCTCATATTTTAATGGGTTCTAATCCAAACCAAGAAGAGCAAGCTCGGTTTGGTGGTGATCAGAATGCCAGTGATAATATGTATCGATATATTCAATCCTTACAAATAGCTTCAAACCCAGGAAGCAACCTCATCAACGCTACCTCTGCAAATATTAACTCCGGTGGAACGTCGTCGGGATTCAACGGCAGCGGTGTCGAAAGAGCCAGTTCTTCAAACCCTGAAGCTTCAATGAACAAGAGGAATGGTTCTCATCAAAAACGACGATTTATTTGGACTCCAGAACATCATCAATCGTTTCTTGAAGTTATTGAATTTCTTGAAACTCAAAATGCCTCATCAAATAGGAGTAAGTTTATGTTTTTCTTTCGTTTTATGAATCTTTGTTATCAAAAAACCTAATTTGTTGTTTGTGTTCTATTAATGTAGAAGTTGTTCCTAGGAAGATCTTGCACGAAATGCAAAAAAGGTATCCAAATATCACTCGAGAAAACGTTGCTAGCCACCTTCAAGTAAGAGGATTTCTTCTTCTCATTCTTGTTCTTGTTCTTGTTCATGTTGAAGATTGTTTTTCTTTCCATTTTTATTTTAACAAGGAATTTGTTGGTGCATGCAGAAACATAGAATGCATCTCAAAAATTTGAATAATAGAGAGTTGAATAATTCAGCTACTAGCCTTAATTCTCAGCTTCTCCAAAGCTCTTCCTTTGTCGTAAACCCTAATTTTCAGGTTCCTCAATTAACCTGTTCAAGCTCCGAAAACCCTAATTTTAATGTTCCTCCACAAACCCATTCCCGTTCGAAAAACCCTAATCCTCAGTCTCCTCTACTAGTCCAGTCCAGCACGAAAAGCCCTAATTCTTGCCCTTCTCCACAAAACCATTTTAGTTTCATAAACCCCAAGTATCATCATCGAAGCCATTTAAACCCTAACAATCATCCTCGAAGCCATTTAAATCCTAATTATCATTCCGAAAACGCTAATTGTCACCCTCTTCAACAAACCCATTTGAATTCCATAAACCCTAATTGTGACCCTCTCCCACAAACCCATTTAATTTCCAACGACCCTCATTATCAATCTATTCCACAAACCCATTTCAGTTCTATAAACCCTAATTCAAACCCTAATTCCAATTCAAATATGATGAATGTTGGTGGAATCCCAGAAAACCCACATTTAGTTCAACCCACAAACACTGAGTTTGGTATTATCCCTTGCCCTCCTCCAATTTCACCCAATCAAACCTCCTCCATTGATCCTATCAGGGATAACCCTCTTGAAGCACTTAACAATCCAAACTTTTTTCAAGATTACAACATGAATTTCAATTCTGACCACCTTCAAGTTGGTGGTGCTGTCGCCAATAACATGTCTCTGCCTTTGGATTCTTGCTGTCCTTTCAATTTAAATCCCCATTTTCAGGTTGGTTAAATAAACATTATCTTCTATTATATCATATGATACTGAGATTGATATATAAATTCTATTACAGATGAACTACGAACAAGCTCTTCAATCCATGCAATACCCAAACAATGGTTTTGTATCACAACAAAGTTTTGATAATCATATGGAGAATGATTCAATCTTACACCAAGGTTTTGATAGCTACGTGGAGAGTGATTCAATGTTACTACAAAGTTTTGATACACATCAACTTGTATCGTCAAATATTTGTGGTACCCACCATCCTCTCTCTCTTTGTGTGTTTTATTTATTTGGTTCAAATTTGGATAAATCATTTATGTTCTAACATTTTTTTTTCTCTTATTATGAATCAAGCAGATACATGGGTTGAACCATCACCAAATCTCGAGAGGATAAATGAACCTTTTGCACCTCAAAACTGTCCCGATGAAACGAATGAAAATAATTACAATTAAATAGATGATCTTAGAAATGTTCATGAGCTTTGGAATATGTATATATCCTTATTTTGTGTCTATTTGTTTATTAACCCATCTTCTTTCTCTCTGATCAATCACAGTCTTGGTTTTCAAGGATGAATATGAGCCACCATCAAAATATAGTGAAACAATGAATAAGAAATAACAACTTAATGAGAAGAAATATCTTACTCTATCTCCACTTCAATTCTCACTCGTCTATCAGATTACAAAAACCCTAACTATCATCGACATTCCAAAATCCCTAATTATCATCCTCGTTGCAAAAAAAAACCTTTTCTCACATTTTTTAACCCAACGTTCTTTTTTACTTATATACTTTATTTAGCACACCAATCCATATCGATCATTGTTTATAAATTTAATATATGTTGAGATTATAAATTTAATACCGTACATTTATAGATTGTTATTTTGGGTTGAAATTATTAATTTAATATATTTAATAATCTTATTATAATTTCATATGACAATTTGTGGGTATAAGTATAAATTAAAATAAATAAATGAGTCAGTTTAAAGAATTAACTTTGAAATATGTGAAAGATTAATTTTTTTTTTTATTTTCCGTCTTAATTATTATTTATTTATTTATTTATTGTCAAATACTTTCAAATAGTTAAGTTAAAATAAGATGTCCAGTAAAACTATTTACGAACCCACCTATATATTTTAAGTAATTTTTTTTTTTTACCATATAGAAACAGCAAATTAGCCAAAAATATATTAAATTATTATTTTAATTAAAATTTGAATTAAATTTTTTTAAAATATATATTTATAATTTAATTTATTCATTTTATATTTTATATTTCACATAAATATACATCATTTCAATTTTAATAGAATCAATAGAGTATAATAGAGTGGAGTGATATGAATTCTTACCATTAGCTTCACCGTCTAGAGTAGTCTAAATTCCTCTACCTCTGCTGATATTAACTCCAGTCGAACGTGGTGAGAATCCAACGAGATCCAAAGGCTTCAATGAAGAACCTGAAGAATGGTTCGCATCATCTATCGGGAATCAAAAAACAACGATTAATTTGGACTCCAGAACTTCATCAATCGTTTCTTGAAGTTCTTGAAGTTCTTCAAGCTCAAAATGACTCATCAAACGGGAGTAAGTTTTTGTTTTTCTTTCGTTTTATGAATCTTTGTTATCATGAAACCTAATCTGTGGTTTGTGTTCCATTAACGTAGAAGTTGTTCCTAGGAAGATCTTGGAGGAAATGAGAAAACGATATCCGCATATCACTAGAGAAAATATTGCCAGCCATCTTCAAGTAAATGGGGTTTCTCCCTTGTTTTTGTTTTGTTCTTATTTCCATTTTGATTTTGACAATGTTTGATCTAAAAGTAATTTGTTCGTTACATACAGAGACAGATTGCATCTCAGAAATTGGAATAATTTAGCTAAATCCTCTTCCAACTCTCTACCTTTCTCTTCTACCATTGATTCTCAGCTTCTTCTCGAAAGCCCTACCACTGCCATAAACCCTAATTTTCAGGTTCCTCCACTGACCACCTTCGAAAACCCTAATTATCATCCTCGAAGCCATTCAAACCCTATGTATCATTCACGAAGCCATTTAAACCCTAATAATCATCCTCGAAGTCATTTAAACCCTAATTATCATTCCAAAACCCCTAATTGTCACCCTCTTCCACAAACCCATTTCAATTCCGTAAACCCTAATTATCACCCTCCTCCACAAACCCATTTTAGTTCTATAAACCCTAATTCCAATTCAAATATGATGAATGTTTGTGGAATCCAAGAAAACCCACATTTTGTTCAACCCACTAACACTGATTTTGGTATTAACCCTTACCCTCCTCCAATTTCACCCAATCAAACCTCCTTCATCGATCCTATCATGGATAACCCTTTTGGAGCATTCAATAACCCAGACATTTTTGAAGATTACAACATGAATTTAGATCCTGACAACCTTCAAGCTCGTGGTGCATTCAGTAATAACATATCTCAGCCTTTGGATTCTTGCTGTCCTTTTAATTTACATCCCCATTTTCAGGTTGGTTAAATAATTATTATCTTCTATTATATGTATGATATCGAGTTTGATATATAAATTCTATAATCATTTTGCAGATGAACTATGAGCAAGCTCTTCAATCCATGCAATACCCCGACAATGGTTTTATATCACAACAAAGTTTTGATAATCATATAGAGAATGATTCTACATTACAACAAGATTTCGATAATCAAATGGAGAATGGTTCAATATTAGAGCAAGGGCGAGGTTTTGATAATCAAATGGAGAATGATTCAATATTACACCAAAGTTTTGATAGCTACGTGGAGAGTGATTCAATATTACTACAAAGTTTTGATACACATTCACTCTCAAATATTTGTGGTACACACCATCCTCTCTTTGTTTTATTTAGTTCAAATTTGGATAAATTATTTATGTTCTAACATTTTTTTTTTCTCTAATTAATATGAATCGACCAGATGCATAGGTGAAACCACAACCGAATTTCGTGAAGATAAATGAACCTTTTGCACCACAGAATTGTCTGAATCAAACAAATGAAAATGGAGGAAACAAAATGGATGTAATTGAGTAGATAGTTGGATTAGCTTTGTTCAAATAGAGTATGTTTATATCTATATGTTTCAAGTTTTGTTGGCATATTTATAGTACAATTTATTAGTTAATGAAGTAGTAGTTGTTGAGGTTGAGGACGAACTGCAATGGAATCGAGATATACGGAAACAAATAGATGAAAAAAAAATAATAATTTGAGGGGAGAATAAAACATATACTTGTACTTATCTTTTTGTTATTGTGAACAAAGCATCTTTTGATAAATATTTATCCCTCTGTTAGTGTGAGTAGGGTATATATTAAGAGTATTTATGTCTGTTGTTGTGAACTAGTATTTATCTGCTAATTCGTATACGACCATTGAACCGGTCCAACCAGCAACTAGAGCTATATGCATTATATGAACAGAAAGCAAACGGCCGGGACATTTATTTTTGTGAATAAAACATATATTTGTTAGGAATATTTATTTCTTTGTTGTTGAATAAAGTATAGTATACAGAATCGGTAGTAACCTTTTTCCTTTCCATTTTTTTTTTCATTACCTTTAAAATAAACCACTAATATTAAGGACGAGTATGTTAAAAAAATTATTGAAAAATAATTAATTTTAAAGATTGTCGTAAATTATTCCTTTCAAACATAATCTGTGGAAATTAACGACAACATAATTGAAATTATAGAAATAACGCCGACAAAAACATTTCTTTTTCTTTTGAAATGTTTATAGTTACCGTTACTTTTTTATATATAGTTTCAAAATCACCTTTGATATTATGTTCGATATATCTACGATTAAAATATACCGAAACAAATAAACTAAGCATAAAAAAATTTGAGATAGATTACTTACACAATGCCCTTGTTGTAATTAGATGCATATTAGTTGTGATTGAATGAATAAATGTTCAACATTTTCTTTAAAAAAAATAGCCGTGAATCCATATAATTCAATTTATTACAATAAGATAGGATATCATATTACACCAATCATTATTTAGGTTATCATGCCCTTATTATTAGGTTAGCTGTTTTTTTTTTGTCACGAAAAAAGGAAAGCCCAGCCCACTGTCTATAAGGTCAGCCCAGCCCACTGTCTATAAGGTCAGCCCAGCCCACTGTGCTATGTTCCCGATTTAGGCTTCTCCCTCAAAATTCTAGTCTATGGGCTTTTCTTTCTAGGTCAGCCTAAGCCCACTGCGATATTAGGCCAGCCCACTGCGATATTAGGCCAGCCCACTGCTATGTTCTTATTTTAAAACACGTCTATGCCTTTCATTCTAGCCCAAACCCCTCAGGTCAGCCCAAGCCCACCGATATGTTCTCTTTTCTATTATTATTTTTTAATTTAATTCATTCATTTTATATTTATGTATCGATATACATTATTTTAATTTTAATAAAATTAATAGAAGATAAATTATATAATTGAATAATAAACAATTTTAAATTATATATAACCTTTTCACTTCCCCTCTTCAAACTTTTCTATCTTAATCTTACTTTTTAAATTTTTTTAATCGAGATATTATTTTTTTTAAAATTTAAATTTCAAACCCTTTTTATCTTAATATTATTTTTTAAATTTAATTTTCAAACCCTTTTTATCTTAATACAATTTATTATCATCCTCGAATACCTTGTTATTTAGATATATATATATGCCCTTATTATTTATTATATCTATTAGATCTTCTTCTTAATCGTGATTAATTAATCACTCTCTCTTCAACTCTTCCTCATATTTTAATGGGTTCTAATCCAAACCAAGAAGAGCAAGCTCAGTTTGGTGGTGATCAGAATGCCAGTGATAATATGTATCGATATATTCAATCCTTACTAATAGCTTCAAACCCAGGAAGCAACCTCATCAACGCTACCTCTGCAAGTATTAACTCGGGTGGAACGTCGTCGGGATTCAACGACAGCGGTGTCGGAAGAGCCAGTTCTTCAAACCCTGAAGCTTCAATGAACAAGAGGAATGGTTCTCATCAAAAACGACGATTTATTTGGACTCCAGAACATCATCAATCGTTTCTTGAAGTTATTGAATTTCTTGAAACTCAAAATGCCTCATCAAATAGGAGTAAGTTTATGTTTTTCTTTCGTTTTATGAATCTTTGTTATCAAAAAACCTAATTTGTTGTTTGTGTTCTATTAATGCAGAAGTTGTTCCTAGGAAGATCTTGCATGAAATGCAAAAAAAGTATCCAAATATCACTCGAGAAAACGTTGCTAGCCACCTTCAAGTAAGAGGATTTCTTCTTCTCGTTCTCGTTCTTGTTCTTGTTCTTGTTCATGTTGAAGATTGTTTTTCTTTCCATTTTTATTTTAACAAGGAATTTGTTGGTGCATGCAGAAACATAGAATGCATCTCAAAAATTTGAATAACAGAGAGTTGAATAATTCAGCTACTAGCCTTAATTCTCAGCTTCTCCAGAGCTCTTCCTCTGTCGTAAACCCTAATTTTCAGGTTCCTCAATTAACCTGTTCAAGCTCCGAAAACCCTAATTTTAATGTTCCTCCACAAACCCATTCCCGTTCGAAAAACCCTAATCCTCAGCCTCCTCTACGAGTCCATTCCAGCTCGAAAAGCCCTAATTCTTGCCCTTCTCCACAAAACCATTTTAGTTTCATAAACCCCAAGTATCATCATCGAAGCCATTTAAACCCTAACAATCATCCTCGAAGCCATTTAAATCCTAATTATCATTCCGAAAACGCTAATTGTCACCCTCTTCAACAAACCCATTTGAATTCCATAAACCCTAATTGTGACCCTCTCCCACAAACCCATTTAATTTCCAACGACCCTCATTATCAATCTATTCCACAAACCCATTTCAGTTCTATAAACCCTAATTCAAACCCTAATTCCAATTCAAACCCACATTTAGTTCAACCCACAAACACTGAGTTTGGTATTATCCCTTGCCCTCCTCCAATTTCACCCAATCAAACCTCCTCCATTGATCCTATCAGGGATAACCCTCTTGAAGCACTTAACAATCCAAACTTTTTTCAAGATTACAACATGAATTTCAATTCTGACAACCTTCAAGTTGGTGGTGCTGTCGCCAATAACATGTCTCTGCCTTTGGATTCTTGCTGTCCTTTCAATTTAAATCCCCATTTTCAGGTTGGTTAAATAAACATTATCTTCTATTATATCATATGATACTTAGATTGATATATAAATTCTATTACAGATGAACTACGAACAAGCTCTTCAATCCATGCAATACCCAGACAATGGTTTTGTATCTCAACAAAGTTTTGATAATCATATGGAGAATGATTCAATCTTACACCAAGGTTTTGATAGCTACGTGGAGAGTGATTCAATGTTACTACAAAGTTTTGATACACATCAACTTGTATCGTCAAGTATTTGTGGTACCCACCATCCTCTCTCTCTTTGTGTGTTTTATTTATTTGGTTCAAATTTGGATAAATCATTTATGTTCTAACATTTTTTTTTTCTCTTATTATGAATCAAGCAGATACATGGGTTGAACCATCACCAAATCTCGAGAGGATAAATGAACCTTTTGCACCTCAAAACTGTCCCGATGAAACGAATGAAAATAATTACAATTAAATAGATGATCTTAGAAGTGTTCATGAGCTTTGTTCAAATAGAATACGTATATATCACAATTTGTTCCTTATCTTGTGTGTCTATTGGTTTATTAAAGGAATGGAACAAATAATTATATTAATGAGATTGCTCTATTTTTTTTTCTCTCTCTCTCCATCTTCTTTCTCTCTCATCAATCACATGTTTTTTAAAGTTGAATATGAGCCACCATCGAAATATGATAGATATATAGTCTACAATTGAAATATACCGAATAAATTATAGTTTACAATATATATTATATTTAATATTTTATTATAAGGCAAATATCTAATATTTGCAGGTATCTTTCCATTTATTACTATTTCCATATCCTTGTAAATTATTTGATTATAAATAAGATAACTTTCAACCATTTAGGTGTAGTGGATTAATCAAACATTCACATCAAAACAAAAATCCATTTGAAATTGAGTTTTTTTTCAATTTCATTTTCCTTTGTGGTTAACTAGGAGGGACAAGCTAACAATTCTCGAAAAAACTAATTATTTTTTAAAATTTACAATTATTCTAAAAATGGTTATATTTTAATGAAAAAAAGTTCTAAATCAAACTTATTAATCTTCCTAATTATCTTTAATAATAATAAATATAAATTATATAATTAATTAATAAAAAATTTAAATTATATCAATAATTTTATATATATATATATATATATATATATTGAATTATAATAAAAAATATCTTACTCTATCTCTATTTTAATTTTCTCACATTTTTCTAATCCTTCCAAAAAAACCCTTTTCTCACTTTTTTACTTACATACTTTATTTAGCGGAGAAGAATGATTCAATATTACACCAAAGTTTTGATTGCTACGTGGAGAGTGATTCAATATTACTACAAAGTTTTGATACACATCTACCTTCAAATATTTGTGGTACTCACCATCCTCTCTTTGTTTTATTTAGTTCAAATTTGGATAAATTATTTACGTTCTAACATTTTTTTTCTCTGATTAATATGAATCGAGCAAATAAATGGGTGGAACCACAACCAAATTTCGTGAGGATAAATGAACCTTTTGCACCTGATCAAACAAATGAAAGAGCAGTGTTCTTGAGCTTTGTTCAAATAGTGTAGTGTATATATCTATATGTTAAAATTTTTGTTGGCATATAGCATAATCTCTTATTATTTTGTTTGGTGGGTCTATTTGAACAAATAATTATATTTTATATTTCTTTCCTTCCCTCTTCCTCTATTATTAATATCGGTCGTGTTTGTTAGTGTTGAATATGACTAGCAATGGAAAGATACTGAAACAAATAAATAAAATAGAAAAAAAACAACTTGATATAGCATATATTTTATGAGTATTTATCGATTGGGAATAGAATTTTTAAAATATTATTAAATATTTGAAATAAATTACTATAGAAAAAGAGTATTTTATTAATTTAAAATATATGATAATTAAATAAAACACGTCAGTTCTCACGTGTGACCAATAATCTGATGGGTTTTTGATTTTGGAACATTTGTAAAACATCCCTTTTATTTAATTTTTGACATTTATGAAAACATAGCTCCAGCTGTACACACCCTAAATTCTAAACTATATAATCAGTCGGTTACCATGTCTTAATCATACCATCTATAATATTATTTATATAATTATTTATAAATATATTTAAAATAAAAGCAAAAGTATACGTCATCACCCCGAAGAAAGATGATTAAATTCTAAATTAAAATTAACGAAGAAGAATACTCCTAATCAATCATTGTGCCGACTTCCACGTAGCCAACACTTTGATTACATCACACTTCTGCCACGTAGCTGGCCACGTGTGTTGCCCATCTTTCAAATCCTTTTTTGCTTTTGGATTTTTATTAAAATTCTTCATTTTTTTTTTTTTTTTGAATCTTTCGTTAATAAATTAGAAAAAAAAAAAAGGAAAGGGTGTGGGAAGTACATAAAGTGGAGGGTGGCTCACAAGGCTGGCATGGTTATCCCCCCAAAAACAAACCTACCCAATTGGACTTTTCCTTTTCGAGTTTTGAGCCTAGCGTCCTTGGCAAATCAACTTGTGTCCACACCCCCTTCAATAGCTCAATCTCTTCACTGGCACACTACCTGATAACCTGACTTTGATGTAACGGCACAAACCCACCACTAACAATATATGTATTCCTTACACGCCCACCCGACAATCCTCAACCATTCAAATCATCATCATTGATGGCAATGTAGATTGGATAATAAACATTAGTTGGACTTGTCCATCATTGATTTGTCGATGGCACGTCATTCTTTCCAAATAGACTCTAAATCAACGAGCCTATGTGAAACTACTCAGTTAGGAGGAGAATTCAGAATTGTATTCACAATTCAAATCATTTTGTTTAGTTTTCTCCTCAGTGTAGTTTTTGATGAGGAGGGATAACAGAGGAAGCATTATTTCCTGAAATGGCCAATCAGGGGCGGTATGATCAAGAGAACAAACGGATATCTGAAAGCATGAGGCATACAAAATCTATGCAAATATAATTAATTCCATAACTTGGAAGATCAATACAAGGATTAAACATGAAAAACAGACGATTCTAAATATAGAAACAAAATTGAAAAAAAATGGGTATGGATTCTATTTCTTATTTTCTGAACAAGGAATGATGATAATAATAATCATGGGGTGTAGAGTAAAATACAGATGGTCTGAACAAAGAAGATGAAGAGTCAATGGACACCCAGAAAAGAAACAGAATAAATAAAAATATGTAAAGAATGGAAGAAAGAATGGGAAATTTTGAAGGACTTAATGATGAAGAGGAAGAAGAAGATGAAGGGGAAGGATGAGGGACGGCTTTTTTTTTCCTTTTTCCTTTTTCCTTTAATTAACTTACCGGCGACGGCGGATGGTTGTCGGTGGTTCAGTGAGAGTGATCGTACAAGTCATATGGAGACCAGAGGGAATCCAGAGGGCAGGGTTTCTTCGAGTCCAGCCTCATCCATGGCTTTCCACTTCCTGACCAGTGAAGAATGCTTACCGGACCGGCGTGGAGGTTCCGGCAGCTACCTTTTACATTGTCGCCACCGAGTCCATGCTGGTTCCACCGGTGTTCAATTGGCGCTACGTCACCGGCGAATACAAGAAGAAACGGCGGAAGCGAACCGAGCTCGTAGATCCGATTGGTTTTCTGAATCTCCATCCACCGTTCGATCCGCTTCGTGAAGCCTGCGCGTCGCCACTGAACGAGATCTATCACCATCACGCCGGTGTTGAAGTAACACGGCTTCCTGCCAAGAAACGTTCCGGAAAACCGCTTCTCCAACCAAAATCGCGAGGTGAAGTACTTCGAGAAGTTTGCGTGACAATATTCCGGCGCTCCGATTGTTCGAGAATACAAATTAGTACTCCAAAGCTTCGAGATATCGTCCACAACAACGAGATCGGAGTCCAAATAAATCACTCTGCGAACACAGGACTCCAATAGCTCCGCCAAATAGTTCCTCGCATAGTTAAGCGGCTGTTCAAGCGGTTGCCGCACCGACGTCGAAATAAGATTCTGAACAATCGCCGGATTGAAGTAATAAACCTTGAATTTCAACTGAGGAAAAGCGGATCTAACAACCGCTTCAAGATTCGTCTCTGTAACAAGGAAATGAAAGAACACGCTCTCTGGACAGAGCGAATGCTGCAGAATCGAATTTACAGCGGCGATTGAGCCGCGAAGGTATTCAAAATCGAGCGTAATCGCAACATGAACCAAACTCGGATCACAAACGCCAACTCTATCCGAAAATTTGGAGTAGCTTAGACTACATTGATCAGCATTACGATACGTCGGCGACCTACGGAACAGAAACCGACTCTGTGAATCAGAGAGCGAGGGACGAACCGATTGCCGAAGATTAAACTCTAGATAAGAGGATCGAATAGCTTCCGCCGGAGGAAATGACTGGAGAGATGGAGAGAGAATAATCATCAACATAGCGGCAGAGAAGAATCCGGAGAATCTCATAATCCACAACATCTTGACTCTTCGAATCGCTGTTTTCCGCTTCCTCCTCGACTTAAAATCAAACGGATTGTTATCCAGATCAGGCAAAATCGAAAAGGGGAAAAAACCTAGGGTTCCTCGTCCAGGGTCCGCCAGGGCTGGAAATCAGAATAGATTGGACGGATCGATGTTCTTAAGCATTAAACATAGAAATAGGTTCCAATATTAAGCCATTGCATGAGCGAACCGAAGTAGAGACGAAGTATGCCGTGGAAACGAAGCGGCCTCAGAGAAGAAATAGCCGCAGCAACATTCAGTGGACATGGAGGAAAAGAAGGCAAACAGAAGACTCACCGGTGGCCGGAGTGCCGCGGAAACAGAATGACCTAGGGTTCTTCTTTCCTGCCGTTGTGCCTCCGTTCTTCGTCGTCGTCGTCGTCCTCCTCCTCCTCCTCGATTATTCAGAGTTTATCGATTCCCGGGAAGAACACATAACCAGAGTCACAGACAATAAGTAGCTGTATGACAGAGAGAGACTGAGAGAGAGTGGGAGAGAG